CCCTCCCTCTCCTTGGGAGTGCTGCTTCCTTGTGTGTTTCAGCTGTTGTCTCCAGGTAGCTTTTCAATTATTCTGAAAACGTTTAAGTTTAATGGGGACCGTGGAAAGGCTCCTACACAGACCAGTGAAAAAGATCTGCCAGGGCCGGTGGGTCTTGGGTATCAAATCAACCAGATGGACTTTCTTTTCCACCTTCAGACAGAGCCAACGCTGTCAGAATCGGTCTCGGGTAAACTGATCGAACACTAGTTAACCCAAGTTAACACAGCCGTTGGGCCCAAGCGTATTGGCATCCAGGGTGCTTTCTGTCCCTTCCAGGGCAATCGCTCCTTCGCTCTGTACACGGTTCTGTTAGGAGCCAACGGACCCTCACTCCACCAATCACAGCTCTACACGAGGCAGCATCCAGAGCGGACTCTGCCTCATCCTGTTGAAGCGGCCATGGAATTCGCCGTCTAAACCAGGGTAAATTCCAACACAGAAGAGAGGAACGCTGGACTACGGGTGTAAGTCAGCGAAGGAGTCTTCAGCAAGCTCAGAACTCGTTATTACTCCAAAAATAAGAGATTTACAAATTAATAATTAATTAATTAAATTTTAGCATGCTTTTCTTTCTTGATAGGTTCTTGGTTAAAAAAAAAAAGTATCACTGTGTATACATGTATGGTACTCCATACAGAAGAAGTCCCAAGAAGTTGTATAATAAAATTTCACTTGCATGGTAACGCTAGCACAAGGAAATGTAAGAAAATGGATTTTTAAAGAAATCCTTTCGGAGGCCTGGCAGCCTGACTCAGGAGCTAAGAGTATTTACCACCGAGTCTGATGACCTGAGTCTGATGCCGGAACCAAAGCCATAGGAGGAAAACCGTAGAATGGAGTCATACCGAGTGTCCTCTGGCCTTCACGCACATGCTGTGGCACTCACCCTCCTGTGAGTACACACACACACACACACACAGAGCACACAAATAAATTAATAAAATGTAAAAAAAAAGGAATTTAATCATTTCATAAACGTTATCTCATCTTTCATGGAAGGCTTTAAAGTTTAAGTTTTGTAACCTTTTCTTACTATATGGAAATATATCGGCCATCGTTTTAAACAATATAAGCTTAGTTTTCACATAAGCCCTGTAAAGCAGCCGAGTGTGGAATCTGTTCAGATGGAAGTTGCCTTAATCTCACTACAGCAGACACAGGGGAAACGCTCACGACATTGTCAGAGCATCTCACTACAGGAGACACGGGGGAAACGCTTACAACAGACTCCTTATTCTTTGCAAGGTGCTACTCTTTTTACCATTGTAAAATAACATATGCTCATTATGGAAACTGTTTAAATATAGAGAAACAGTGAAACAAATTTACCCACAATCATCAGCTCACCCCATTCAACTGGCTGCTTTTTTTTTTTTCCCTGTGCTCCTCTTTTTTGCTGGGTTTGCCAGAACCTCACAAGCTCCCAGCATTCTTGTGAATTTTTTTCCCCAAAATATTTGGGGAAACTCACTCACAGAGCTCTGCCTCCATGCCCTGATTAAAAGCGTGCACCACAATGGCCTCACGCTTAGTTGTGATCATGTTCTATAAGAAATGTATCCCATTTTCTACTTGTAATGAAATACGCATTTCCCCATCCCATGATAAATTATTTACAGGTAGGATTTTTAATGACTGTGCAATAATTATTGCACAGGAGATGTCTTCTTTACTTAATGGTTCCCAGTTTAGTGCATCTAGCGGTTTCCAGCTTCAAAGAGTTCATGACGAGCAATGGAATATCCATACCGAGCAATTTCATACTAAAATTCCTTTTGAAGGTTCGTTTTATCTCCTACAGCTAGATTCCCCAACAGAAATTCGCTTACAATGTTAGAACATATTTAAAGTGTTTGTTACATATTAAACGTTTGCCTTCCAACAGGTTTAGCTTATATATAATTATGATACCTTCCAGACTGGATGCTTTCAGATAAGAAGTATAGTATATATCTGTATGCGTATGTCTTGATTTCTAGAGAGATTAGCTAGTTCCCATATACTGGCTAATGTACTCCACAAATAGCTTTTTCATATAATTTGTAAACAGTGATTGCTACCCAAGTATAAATTATATTTGTGAAAATTTTGGAGGGAAGGAGAGAAGTCTGAGAGCAAAATAATAGCAAGAACAATAGATCTTACAAGTTCATGGAACAAAACAGGAGCCATGTCAGATGCCCGAGGGCTTCTGATTGGATGTAGGCCGGAGGTACTAGGAGGGAGGAGTCAGGATATATGATTGCCCCAGGTTGGACCTGATGGGAAATATGGTATCCCTGTGGTTCTGCCTTTTTTAATTAAGCCTCTGCAAAAAGGACTTGTGGCTATTTCCTGGGGACCCAGGAGTGGACACGGACTGAGTCCATCATCCTGGCCACTGTTTAATTAAAGCTTGCTTCAAACTTGTGAAACAAATTTCTTTCTTGTAAATCTCAGGATTCAAAGACGAAAGGACAGGAGAGATGACTTGAAGCCTAAGAGCACTTGTTAAGAGTGCTAAGAGGATCCAAGTTCAATTCCCAGCACCCACAGGCAGCTTACAGCTGTCTGTAACTCCAGTTCCAGAGAATCTGCTGTGGTCCCGTGAGGACAGCACACATGTGCTGCATAGACATACATGCAGTTAAAAAAAACACCCATACACATAAAATAAAATAAAATAAAATAAAATAAAATAAAATAAAATAAAATAAAAATAATTAGATCTTTCCACACGCAGTATGGCTCTAAAGACTTATACCCGACTGAAGCAGCAAAGAAATGGAGAAAAGAGACAGACATACGGATGCACAGACAGAAAGCTGGGTTTGGGTGGGCTTAGCTCTGACTGGAGCATGGTTATTATAGAGAGTGGAAAAGAAAGACAGGTTTATTGCATAGGTGAGGTCACTGCATACAGACGGACAAGGAGTGGATTACTACATGTAGATAAACAAAGAGGCGGGTTTACTGGATCAAGGGGCCAGGGTAGCTAATCCCAGTAGGGTCAGTCTCTGTAGAGGAACAGTTTTCATGCTGTATATCTAGGGAAGAAAGCTATAGTGACATTTTCTGAACACATTGTCACCATGTATACATGGACCAGAGGAAGGCTTTGCCAATTCCCTTTGAGCCTCACCCCCACACACCCCCAAGGGACTTGGGGGAAGCTTTGCCATTCCTTCATGGGTCTGATGCTCTGAGGCCTTGGGGTGCCCACGTCTGTGCCAACAGCACACATTCTCTCAGGATTCCCCTCACACAGGCCTCCTCTGTTCTCTACAAAATCTTTTTTTTTTTTTAATTTTAAAGAAGGAAGGAAGGAAAAAGGAGACACATGGAGGTTGTCATCCTCCTCCAGGTGGCTTCAGTGTGGCCTCAGTGGCCTCAGCAAATGCGGTGTGGCCGGTGAACACCCACACACTGATTATAAAAGGGAAGAAAAACTCAAGCATGTGCTTTTATCTTTTAAATCTAATTTTGTTATTTCCGCACGTTTAATCAGCTAGTTACTTTGTGGTACTGGAACAGAACCTGGGGCCTGACACATGCTAGGCAAGTGCACACCCAGATAAATTATAAGTATCTCTAACAGTTGGGTTCAGTCCCCCACCATAAACAGAGGTGACACACACCTACCTATAGTCCCAGTCTCAAGTTCAATATCGTTCTTAGTTTTCATGTCATGTTGCTACAGCCAGACATCTAACATAAGCAACTCGAGGAAGGAAAAGTTTATTTTGGCTCACGGCTCGGGGGTCTTTCATGGTGGCAGAGGCTTGAGGCGGCTGCTAACATTGGACTCACAGTCCAGAAGCAGAGAGTAAGGCTTCCTAGAGCTTGCCTCTCTTCCCCCTTCTTATTCAGTCCAGGACCTCAGCCCGTGGACCGATGCTTCTCACACCCCAACCTTCCCACCACAGTTTAATCTATATAGATTAGCTCTGAGATCTGTTTGCATGGTGATTCCAAATCTCATCAAGTTGACAAGATTAGGCATCTTAGCCACGTACCGAGTTCTGAGCTAGCCTGGGCTGCAGGAGACTATGTCGAAAGCAAAAGCAAATTCTTAAGGTGTTCTTTATGTTTCAGCTTGATTTTTTTTTTAAAGTCTACTAAAAAGTATCATGTGAGTTATAGAATGAGAATAAGGCCCAAATGTCTAAAGAGAGAACAACAGAGCCATTTGGTAAGCTTCTGGTATGGATTTCCATCTTCACTGAAAACTGTTAAAACCCAAAACCTGGGAGACAGCTAACAGAGCTCTCCTCCTGCTCAGTGTGGGTCACATGCCACGATCCGGTTCTGAGCTTCCTGGTTTCTGGGTTTGTGCTGTAATGTACAAGCATTTCAAGCCTCCTTTGACAGATACAGAAGCACTTCCTACTACCAGCTAAACAGGCACAGAAAACAGGCTCTCAAAGACCTAAGAGTTACTCAAGATCATATAGGTGATAAGGAACTGAACTCTTTCCATTTTGAACACCTCAGCTTTCCTTATCTGATGCCTTTTCCTGAAGCTCGACACGGAAAGGAAGAACTTGATTCCAAAGCAACCATGGAGGTAAGGGACGCCTCAGAAGACTGCACAGACCACCAGCAACATGAAAGCATTCGTTTCCTAGGCTGGGTCTTTACTTTTAGATTTTTAAAAGAACATCTACTTACCCACAACCTGGTTCTTCCAGGCTCTCTCACGCCTGAGATGCTCCAGTAGAGTGGCTGAGCATGCAGGCTTCTGAAGCCATCTGTCTGAATTTTAACAGCAACACACAAAGCACTCACTACCATTGTCTGTATCTGTCTACTTCATGACAGCCCACTTCCATCCTCCCTTACTAACGAGAAAACTAAGGACACACTGATTAGAAAGACATAAGACACTTTTCAACCCTTTAAAAATGTGATTCCCAGCTACAGACATAAACCAAATTTAAAAACTGTGACGCTCTGGTGAAATATAAAACAGTTAGGGGCGCCAGGTGGCAGTGGTGTGCACCTTTAATAGCACTCAGGAAGGAGGCAGAGGCAGAAGGATCTCTGTGAGTTTAAAACCAGCCTGCTCTATAGAGAAAGAGATCCAGAACAGCCAGGGCTACACAGAGAAACCCTGTCTTGAAACACACACACACCTGGAAAAAAAAAAAGAAAAGTTAAGGGAGATAAATCATATTTTATATTCAAAAAACAAAATTAAGTAACTTTAGACACACACAGTTTTTAACACCACCAAGTGAAACTCTGTGTGTGTGTGTTTAAAAGCGCGCACGTGAGCTTTTAAAATGGATTCCTCTGTATCCAGAAGCAGTCCTAGAAAAACTGAGCACCTATCGCAGAAGACTCACAGGGATGCTGGCAGACAATCCAGTTGCTCTTTGTGCTGTTTAAGAACC